ATTTATGAAACAAAATAAGAAGTTATGAATATTCTGATCTTTTAAACATAATTATAATGCATGAGTAAGTATAATACCATTTCTAACTTTCTATTTAACAACACTACACCTGTCCTATTGCCCGTGTTGGGACTTCGAAGAACACTAGAGACATTATCCTATTGTGTTTGAAATTAATATGAAATAATATCATAATTGATCATATTATGTTTAAAATTTTGGAATACCATTTGAGATATACTGTAAGTCATTCACAGTTTGGTATCACCCTGACTGATCACTGATGATCATGATGTATCACTATTCGGGAAATGCTATATTTATTCACTTACGCTGTAACTGCATGTATAAGTTACACAATATATCATTAAAATATTTCAACTCAATGTTTGCTTACAGTAATTGGTTTTAAATACTGTAAGCATGCATATTCTAGCAGCTAGTGTCACTTTTATAAAAGCTATATACATCAGCTTTTAATAAAAATATGTAACCAATCACATCAATTAGTCACTTGGTTACTCATGAGTCATATAACTTAGTTAATTAAACTACTGTATACACATACAATTCTGATGTTCATTATTTCACTGTGCCTTATACAAATGATTTCACTTGTCATGTGGAATTAGGCTATCCATTGATACCATACTTAACTAAATGATTAACAATTATGCAGCTTTGCCTCTAATCTTTATTGTAATATACTTTAACCCACTGAGTGGCATTCACTCTCGCTTGATGAGTAAAATCATCTGGCATTTGAATAAACTAATAAAGTAGAGAACATCAGGGCACATTGTCACTTAAAGGGTTATTACAAACCATCGTCAATTTACATAGGTTGCAGAGGTTCTTAAAGAACAGCAAGGCAAAGGAAATGCCACTGAGATATGGAAGAGCCTAATTGGTCAAACTGATTGCAAATATTACTTCCATACTTGATTAGGTTAAGTGTCTGAACCTTGCATGTGATTGGTTACTTGTAAAAACATGTCAAACTGGTTACTGGTTTGGAAAGTAAACATGTACACAATAGACATAATCATAAGGCCACATAAAAAAATAGTTGGTTAGTGTCCTCGCCCGCCCACAAAAGGCCCCGCTCAGGATTTTCTTTTAAAACAACTTTTATTGACCAACAGGCTCTAATATATGTAGCATTTCTGTAGTCAATTGTGTGAATAAAATTAAATGTGCAAGATATATTAAATTCCAATAAATCTTAATAAAGTTGTTCTAGAATATAAAGCGTGCGAAAATGATGGTACAAATTTTTTGAAATATATAAAAAAATATCTGACGTACTGTGCAAGAAAATCCATTTTCGGACCTAAAACCAAGGTGTTAAAAATTCATATAAATTTGACAAAAGGTAAGGATGCTATTAAATTAATGAACTATTTTTTATGCATGGCCTAAATACAGTATGTCATTAATGTATTGTTTCATTGAAAACGCTGTGTATATAATGCAGGCCTGCCAAGGTGTGGTGCATAAAATGAGGGAGATTATAATATTTGTGATTTTTCTGCATGTGACTTGAGCTGACAATAAACATGAGCTCCATGAAATCTCTAGAGGGGTTTACGGGATTGCTGTGAGTGCTTCGTTTAAGATAACCTTGATCTAAGACTGCATTCAGAGCACTCTTGCTTATATAGCTGTGCAACACACATCAATCAACATGTGTCTAGATAATTTGTTAGTTTTTTTCTGGTAGCACTCCCAACAATACTGTGTTGCAGGTAAAACACAAGAAATGCGGGAGATTTCTAATTTTCTTCAAATTGTCTTCATCATGTGGGAGGGAGATGATTAATGACTCCAAAATGCATGAGTCTCCCGCCAAATGCGGGAGACTTGGTAGGTCTGATAATATGATTTTTTTTTTCGATTTGGTGTTGTGTACTCAGGTGAATAATATGTTTGCGATGTTACTCTGAGTGCATATCCACACCGGGCGAGCTTGAAAAATATGCCCGGCCACGGTGGGATTCGAACCTACGACCTTTGGAATACCAGCCCAATGCTCTTCTACTCGAACCGTCCTGACCGCGTAGCTCAGTTGGAAGAGCATTGGGCTGGTATTCCAAAGGTCGTAGGTTCGAATCCCACCGTGGCCGGGCATATTTTTCAAGCTCGCCCGGTGTGGATATGCACTCAGAGTAACATCGCAGGTCTGATAATGTTCACTTATATCTGATCTTTTGCTAAATAATGGTAAATTGTATGAAAATTTCTTCAAATGTTTGTCTAATAATTGATGATTCTGTAAATTAATATTTGATTAAATGAATGTGAATATATATTTAGCTCCAAGCCTCTATTTAGCCCCATTCTACTGGGAAAAATATAATCCCCCAAAGGGGCTAAAACTAATGAAAATTACATTTATGATTTTCATGATCAAACAGATTAACTTTTAAGATTAAAGGGGCTAGGGCCAGTAGAACGCTCTTTACAAGGTAAAGGGTGTTGTCCACTGAAAACTTATAGAATTCCTGCAGGAACTTTGAAAATGATTATCAAATTTGGGAATATACCGGTATTCCAGAGTGAAATTACATATCACAAATTAAAATGAAATCCACAACATTTTGTTGAAAAATATAGTTATTTTAGAACTCAGATCGTTCACACAAAAACCTTTGTGCAATAATTTTATATTGGCCATTGCTGTCAGCCCTAATGACCAAGGGCATGTGATTTTAAGATGATCTGCGATATTCTATGCGTATACAATAACCTTTACAATTAGTGAATAGTAACAAGAATCATGAAAATGTAGCAAATTACCAACATCGAAAAACATTCGTAGTTTCTTGACTTCTTTGCGTTTTGTAATTTTAACAACTAAACAATCAAATTTGACAATCACTTTGTCTTAACGTGCCGTTGGGCATAAATAATAACCCACCCGAAAGCTGCCATTTAAATAACGTATGTATTGTTCTGGATTGATCTGTCTGTATTAGAAGTTCAAAAAATTTTCCCCGTTAGTTGCAATAAATTGCAATTAACAATGGCGTTAACTGCCAACGGCAACGCCATCCCAACCGCACATACAGTATAATGACTTGCCTCACAGATTAGAGCTGCATGATTACAAAATAGCTATTTGAAACTGTATATAGGTATTAATCTGTGCTTGAAAGCAAATGTGAATCTTAGCCAAAATCACTTATAATAAAAGACCAATATATGCTTTAACCAGCCAAAGCAATTTACCCGAAAATTTCAGTATTGCTTTATATAGATGAGGTCTGATATTTAACAGCAGAGTTACAACAAAACATACGCAGATGTTATATAAAACACTGCTATCTTTTAATAAGCGCATGTTAAACTTAAATATGTTCTATCTATAAAAGTAGAATGTTTGAAATACCTCTTTCCGATAAAGACGTTCTTTTGGGATCAATCAGTCGAGTATTAATCGAGCAACTTCAGCGTATAACCAGTGCAACACCAAATTCCAAAGTTGAACAACCAAATGGCCAAATGAATAAATGATCACAACTGACGTCTGATGCGTTTCCTGTTGTTTTAATAAATTATTATGCAAGCGGGGCGTGTCTTACTCTCTTTGTATTGCTTCTCGAAAACCGGAAAGGACAATGGCATATTGCATTTAATATCCGTACACCCCCTGTTGAGGACCTTGGAAATCCAGGGGTTGACCTCCATTTTTTGTGCTGGAAATCCAGGGGGTGGGGTCAAAATTCACTTATTTTCGCTGGAAATTCCAGGGGGTGGGGGCCAAATCTCGTGTTTTTTCACTGGAAATTCCAGTGGGTGGGGTCAAAACTCTTATTTTCTCTGGAAATTCCAGGGGGTGAGAGTCAAAACTTGCTTATTTTCGCTAGAAATTCCAGGAGGAGGTGTTCAAAAGTCACTTATTTACGCTGGAAATTCCAGGGGGGGATGAAAAAATGGCACATTTCCAAGGGTAATTGATTTAAAATGCTTGGAATTCCAGGGGGTAAGACAAAACATAGCAAGGAAATCCAGGGGAATGTAAAACATAGCAGATTTCCAAGGGTAATTTATTAAAAACTTGTGGAATTCCAGGGCCTAAGAGAAGAAATGACATGGAATTCCAGGGGGGCAGATATTTGAACAGTGTGTCCTCAACAGGGGGTGTACGGATTTTAAGTGCAATATGCCAATGGCGTTGTTGATCATAGTGGAATTAAAGTTTGGGCAGATTTTTTTATTAATTTCGTGTGTTTTGGATCTCTCAAAACTCAATGCATTATTCACCATGGCATACATTGCGGTGCGAAGACAAAATCTAAGAAGCGAACGATCTCGTTGACAGTACGTGGGCGGAACACTCAACTTTCAAGTAAAAAGAACTTTCTATAAAACAACATTCGCGAGCTGAATGTTTTGATAGAGTTTGGCATGCCGGGTTACTTACGAAACTGGTAGCACTGCTGCACTGGGCCTACGCAATTCTCTCTTACAGTGGTTTGAAAGTTATCTAGAAAGCAGATTGCAACGTGTAGTTATCAGATGAAGGGCAAACATCCAATTAGGAAAGGGTCAGTTCCGGGGTCCCACAGGAAATCATCACTCGCACTCATCTTTCCAAACCTTGGAAAAGTAAAAAATGTTCAGTCTAATGTCTCAATCAATTCCATGGGTGCCCAACACCCCCCGGGCGTTTGTCGGGCATTCTCAACTGTACTTGTTCCCAGGGTCGGGCATTTGCTTTCTGCATGTTAGCCCCGGGGTGGGGAATTTGCTCGAGGCTAAAAAGTCGAATATTTATCGCTTGTTTCGCCATTTAGCCGTACTTTAGTACGCATGTTTACACCAGCGTGCGTATCGCAAATTAATCATGGCGGAATAACACAAGAGTTTTTTCTTGTCCATCCTGTTGATACATTGACTTACTTCTGCAGTTTGATATTGCTATATAAAGTTTTGAGACTTCAATATTTTAATTAAAAACGTTTTAAAACGAAATGCCTATAGAATCGATTTTAAATACAGATAAATTGATACGTGATAGAGCTTGGATTCGATTTTTTGGATCAGAAATCCTCAGAAAACTTATATTTTGTCCCCCAAGGGTGGGGCATTTGCGTCAATATAAGTCCCCAAGGGTGGGGATTTTGTTGCATTATTTGGACCCCATACTGGGGCATTTGCAACGTTTTTTCGCCAAAATGACAAAAGCCCGACAAACGCCGGGGGGGGGGGGTGTTGGGCACCCATGGAATTGATTGAGACATAAGAAAGACATGAAAAGGCATCTAAACGCTTAAACATGTTAAAATTGTTAAAGTTTAAAATTAGTAGATCAACTCTTGCTTGTTTGTGTAAAGAGTTTGATATGGCCAGTTATGGAGTACACGGATATCATTTGGGATAATTGTACCACTGGGTGAATATATAGCGATTTCCGACTAGAAAGTATTCAATATGAGTCAGCAACATTAGTTACTGAATACTGGGGCTATAGCAGGAACTAGTCCAAAACGTCTTCTCGATTAACTTGGCTTTGGAGAAGTTGAATATCAAAAGAAAAGTTCATACTATTAACATAATTAATCATAATTGAGTTCATAATCAATCATATCAGGGCCGTACGCGTGATTTTTTCATCAGGGGCAGTAAGGCCTATATGCCGAAAAAAGTCACAAATATCCAAAGAATAATTAATAATGCATGACATTCTAAAAATCGTAAATATAGTTTTTTCTGGGGCAGTTGCCCCCCCCGCCGCTGTGTACGGCTGGATAAGTTTGTATCGGCCAAATAAGTTGTATCGGCCGCCATCTTATGATAAATGGCTTAATAATTTTTCCCTTACGAGGAAGGCTTCATTTTTGCATACGCGATTACGATTAGGTTTCTGTGCACTATAATTAATTGATTATTTGTACAAAATTAATTGTTGTAATTCTCTCTTATGTATTTGTGGCCTGGAACGTGAAATTATTAAGCATTATGTGCTATTTAAAACACGAGTAGGAGTGTTTTATCAGATAAAAAACGCGATGCGCAGCCGAGCGTTTTATATCTGATAAAACACGACAACGAGTGTTTTGAATAGCTTAAAATACGACTACAAAAGAATACTAATTAGGACGAACAATTATATAAAGAATACTAATGAAGATGGCTTTTATCAGATATAAAGTCACTCCATGTGACATATTATGGCTGACATTATTTGCCACAAGGTTTATGTCCCCGTTTTGCTGCCCAACGTAAAACTTTGCCGTCTGCTGCACAAGTAGACACACAATCAAGATGGACAACATGGCGTCCGGTAGCACCCCATACACACAATTAAGTTGTGATGAAAATTGTTCCCCTGCCGTTTGGTTCTGTCCAACAATTCATTCTGAATATACTTGTCGGTTTTGCTAGTCCTTGCTTTGTCACTATTTGTATATGCTGTCTTAAGTTGTTTTTTTTTGTTGTTGTCCTTGTTAGTTTTATGTGTCATCTTTCCTTTCCTTTTTAAAAATTAATGTATGTTCCGAGTTAGCCAATGTGAGCCCCCCTGTTAAGCTTAGGCTTTTGGGGCAAACACCTAAAATAAAGTTTATATAAAAAAATGTTTTCATGCACGTAATGCGAAAATGCATTGTCATCAGGTTGTATGTACATATATAATAATTAATTTCCAGGTGGTATTTTGCAAAAGACCAGAAACTTTTCCATACTATCATCAGGCGTTTGGAAAACGTTAGAATTCGAAGAGGAACGAAAGCACTTGCTTGTAGACTCGATTTTCGATTAAACTAATTAATTTTCAGTTTCTCCCAACTGTCTGTACGAGACTCTGACTACGAGTGCTCTTCAGACTTCCTATATAAAACGGTAACTGACATTCGGTTTCAGCATAGTTGTCAGGAGTGCCTCGCAAGCTTCGTTTCAGACTTACTGCTAGAATTACAAAGACAATTTTTAGCATTTTCACGGTAGTGTAATAATTTTTCAGTTTTAATATTTTTAATATTTTTTGCAACTACCTATTTTTGGGCCTCCTATGAAAAGACGTTTAATATTTCGGGCAAAGCTCAGTAGGCCAACATTTTACAGGAAACATCAAAGACATGAAAGTAGAGGGTGTTATGGGTGTCATATGATTGTTTAATATGAATTCCGTTTCCTCCTATAGTATTCGTTTCCTCCTACAATACCGTGATTATTTTCTATTTGTCAACGATACGATATTATTTTGTACGAATTCATGGAATACTGATGCCTTTCAAAATTCGACCCATGAAGCAAAGACGACGGTATATCCGTCTGAACCAGATGAACTCAATTTAATTTAACTTGAATCCGGAAGGATACACATTTGGCGGTAAAAAAAGTGCAGCGTAGTGGCGGGGCTGCTGTAGGTCAGTTTCCGTCACGTCCCCTTATTCGTCATCACCTCTCGTTTTGGACCATGGAGATTATAAAAGAAAAGAGTGGGCATCGCAGGAAAAGTTCAGGCAAACGAAAAATTGAAGCTTGCTAATGGAGGCAAATTTGACACCCGGATGTAAAACCAAGAAAACCCATTTCCTCACCTTTTCGCTACAATGACCCTCAAAATATTTTTTTAGAAATAGCTACAATTAATAAACCAAATCTGAATTACGTTAATGTTATATGCACAACAAAGTATCTCCACGTATATGGTATTGATATATTCTGTTGCCATAGCTACCGAGATAAAAGCTGGAAACTCCTGCTGAGCACTTAAACGCCATCCATAATAAAAACTCAGTATTTAAGAATAGTATATTTTTAGCCTTGGCTTTCAAAATTTGAGGAAATAATCAGTTATTATAGGTTTATGCAATGAACTAAATGATTAATGGTAATCAAGTTATTAATTAAATAAATAGTACGCGTATGCACTGGCCAGAATCAGATCAAAATGCACTTGTGTCTTTGATAATAACACGAACAATATTGCACCAATTCATATTTATAATTCTAGTTCATTGCATAGCTTTACATGTATAGACTGCCTCGTCCCCAGGCGCTAATAAAAAAAATTTATGCGAGTCACTATATGAAAGTTTACATGAAGTAGTGCATCGCGACGAACAAGCGCAAGAAGTTATGGGCTTGAGGCATCGAAAACGCTCATACCCACTCCCCTTTGCGCGCCTATAATGTGACGCTCTACTTCATGTAAACCTTTCATGTAGTGACTCGCCTGAATTTTTTTTATTAGCGCCTGACGGACGAGGCAGATGTATAGAATAATTCCCGAAAATGTCAGTAAAATGTATAGCCTGCGTGGCAGGCCCTCAAATTTATGGGGGGCCTGATTTGCAGCGGGCAGAATTTTGGCGGGCTCCGGGGGAGGATTAAGGGCCTGCATGAAAGCCCGACTTTCATGACTACACGCCGTTCAGATTCTGGACGGTGAATGCGATCACCTGATTGGTCAATACCAAGCTGGAAAACCGTAGTATTTGTCGATTTCAATATTGTTGTTACTTGTTATATCTAATCCTCGATCTATCTTGAACATCGATTGTGGCTATTTTTTCTTATTCAGCAGCGATACAAAAGATGATCTCACTGGCCAGTCGTCAGGAAATAGCACAGGATAATTGCAAACAATTAACGTGCATGGATGTAAAATTGTAAATACTGATTCTGATTTTAGCAATTTTAAACAAAAAATAATAGAACATTGACTGTCATCAACGAGACGCGATTATAGTATAGTTTCTATAGTTTCTATATGAACGCTGTTTTTGTGGGCCATCCATGTCTTATAAAACGTCCTCATAGCCGATACCAGGTATGTTAACAGTCTTAGCCGTTTGTATCACTGACAGTACTTGAAGAATCAGATTCAGAAGAGTTAGTTGAAATTTAATGCAATGTAGTGGATTTTTTTGTGTAATTTACCGGTATTATAGTGTGATGGGCTTATATACGGGTGGGCTTATGTAGGGGTGGGCTTATATTCGGGGGGGGCTTATATTCCGGGGGGATTATATACGGAATGGTGTGAACGTTAGTAATTTGATGGGCTTATAGACGGGGGGGGGCTTATATTCGGGGGGAGGCTTATATTCGGAAGTTTACGGTATCTGGTGTATATAGTGTTAGTTGATGTTGTTTATGTATAGTGTACTTACACTAAGTATTGACATAAGTAGTTTGTTTGTTTCTGATGCATGCGGGCACTATTCGCTGTCTTGATGCGATCTCATTCTGAGTTGTGAAATACAAACATTTTTGTTTCACGTTTTATGAGTCTTTGTTATTCACTGGCGATGACCAAAGCTAAGCACGATATTTCACATTATTCACATGCACATGAATGCACGTGTAATAACTAATAATGCGGGAAGGATATGCTTAGCCATCCCCCCTGGTGTAAAACATGGCGTAAACAAACTAAAATATATTTATTTATATTTAATATATTATGCAATCTTTAATGACGGAATAAATTAACATAGTAAATCGATGTACCCCCTGCGAAGAAAGTTTGACTATTTTGTGTATGAAACTTCGACTTAAATGTGATCAATCGTTCTTTGTGAGATTCGTATTAATTGTGTGAGTTTTTATATTGTTTACAAGCGTTGTACTTTATTTTGTGTACATTGATAATTTTGTCCCCTTTGGACGCCCATAGGATTGTTTGCCTCTCCGTATCTTGTGGTCATTGTTGAGATTCCTCCTCTGGTCCTTTTCTCCAAAAAAAGGAAACATATCTGAATCCGTAATATTTTCTAAATAGATGTTCCTAGTCTTCATAACGCATCCAAAGAAAGGCCAGGAGACGTATAATACCAACAAGGATCCAACCCATAATTACTCATACACACAACTCTGAAATTCTCGAAAACATCGGCCAGAAGAAGAGCGTCAGATTTCAAATACAAATCATGGTACTGTCTCATGGTTTTCATGTCGAATTTTTTTCAGAGATTCTGAACGTGTTGGTAGTCTTTGTTGCTGATCTCGGTGTTGTTGAGTCGTGAGCAGAACTCATCTTTCGAAGGAAGTTTCTCTTTGTCTAATTTTTCTAGTGAGTCCACATAGTCGTAGGGGTATACGCCTTTTCTTTTCAATAATTCGAATTTGTCTCCCTCGTAGAATTTCCGTAAATTCTTACAATTGTCCTTATCCACTAATGTCCCAAGGGCGCAAGCCATAAACTTAAAACTGTCCAGGAAATGGATCTCATGATTAATGCTGATGTCCTCTCCCTTCTCCTCTCTCTTCTTTGAAAACGTGTGAAGGGCGTTCGTCACTGTGGTCCAGTCACTTTTCGTTTGTAGGGTTTCGAGTCACAATATTCCCATTCGGATGACCTAAAAGCACTTTTAGTGATTTAAGCACAGTTAATTTAAGTGACGAACGCCCACGAACCCCTTCACACGTTTTCAAACCGTCGATGTTGAGCTTACTTCGGTACATCGTCGGAATTAGTATTTACATCCACGTTGTCTGCAGTACCTGTGCTATTTCTTGATGACTGGCCAGTGAGATCATCTTTTGTATTGCTGCTGAACAAGCAGTGTACTTGTACGCGCAGATTTCGATTCAGTTCTAGACATACTACCCGGAAAACATCGCGGAGAACAAACGCGATTTGATTCAGTTTGGTTGAATGCAGTGGCGTGCTGGCAGGGGGGGCCGGGGGGCCACGCCCCCCCCAGCTGGCAATTTTTGGGGGGCGCAAAAATGAAAAGGGGGCGCCGATCCCGCGCCGAATTTTGAAAGTAGGTGGGAAGAAACGCATTCGAAAAAATATAGTTACTAATTCCGCCAAGGAAAGATGTGTTTATAGACTTATAAACAGACTAAGCGCATATGCGACAAAGTGAGTATATTAAATTGCAGACTATTCAGTGTCTAACCGTATTTGCTTCCTCGCGACTCACACGAAATCACTCGTTCATGTAGAAACATGATCAGTTATCACACGCAATGTCTCATTACTGGAATATTGACCAGGCTTCGAAGCGATCACGGGAATTATGCCCTTTTTTGCTGGTATTATACCCTTATATTATGCCCTTTATTATGCTTCACGAATCGCGTACGAGAGCGGCGCAAATTAGATAGTTGAAGTTATGATAATGTAAGTTGTGTACGCAATTTAGTTGTTTGCGCAAGAAACATGAGTAATGTAAGTAATGAGATAATGATGAAGCACGCCCTTTTGGCAGCCAGGCAAGGAAACCTTAAAATGCATATGCGTGGGGTTCGTGTGTTATTGTATAAAAGAGCTGTAAATTGCCAATGTATTCAGATCAGAGAATAGAATTGGGATTAGATTAATTGCTGGAAGTAGTTAGCATTGCCCAATTTAAGTGCTACTACTGAATTCTAACCAATTTTCAAATTTCGACACGTTGTAATGCCGTTTCCTGACCATCAGATTTCTGTCAAATCTTCCCCCAAAGTCCAGGAAATGCCATTTCAGAGACTCTAAATTCAAAAATTTTCCTGGGGGGCATGCCCCCGGAGCCCCCTAGACAAACCTCGCACCTGCGGCGCTCGGCTCGTGCCTTCGTTTATCAAGGGTAATATTATAGGGGCGCATATTAGTTGCCAGCCGACTGGCCTCCCCAGAAAAATAGTACCCAGCACGCCACTGGTTGAATGGACTAGCGCCACGGTCAGCGTGTCAGGAATTAACAGTTTACGCTTACCTGATGTTTCTACATCTTTGGGCTGGTAATGGTGTTGAAACTTCTCGTGTAGAACTGTAGTGTATTAACAAAAGCCAACTTTCTCACATATATTAAATCTGAGAGCACAATTCCGAAAGATTGTTTTCTTTCTGAAGGTTTTTTGTGATAGATCATGAACAATTTCACTAAAATTGCCAAATTGCTGTTTAATTTAAAACAACATTTACAAAATCTGCAATATTGTATTAAATTGTATTATAGTTTTGAGCGGTTTGAGTTTAATTCGCAATATTGTTTGATTGACATGTTTACGCACGGGCAATAGGACAGGTGTAGTGTTGTTAAATAGAAAGTTAGAAATGGTATTATACTTACTCATGCATTATAATTATGTTTAAAAGATCAGAATATTCATAACTTCTTAATATTTTGTTTCATAAATAGTTCTTTAATATTCGAAACAAATTCCATACTGTATCTGCTTCGTCAATCTCGTTCCCCGAGCCTGCGATCCTTGGGAAGGAAACGAAGGCTCTGGGATAATCCATCTCAAAAATGAATATGATTGGTTGCTGGTATACAATGGAATGTTGCAATTTTGCAAAAATTAATTTTTAACTGTATATTTTTATATACAACATGGCGGCCGTTTAGGAGTGTACGAATATTGTTTTGGTTTTTCAGAGCTGTGCTATATACTAATACTACAAAGGAAATGCAAAGAAACGTATAATGCGTATAATATCACAACAGTTAAATGGAGCGTGAAAACTTTACTCATATTTGTGTTGTACAGGTTTTCTGTATTTTTAATCTATACATAGTATACAGTACTGTCAGTACACTGTACTATTTGACTATAATATCAAATATGTGCTATATTTTGCAAATACTATTTGTGTCAGAAATGGTTAATAACTTTATTAATTTGTATTTGTGTTATCTAATTGCGAAGAACTAGCTAATAACTAGTTTCAATACATCCAATCTTGGGATTTACTGTTATATATTTTATTATTTAATGTATATACTGTACTGTAAACTTTTCAAGTGCAGGAGTATGTAATACTCATTTTAACTTGTAGCATGTAACCCTTCCCTATATGGGTGCATATGAATCTTTTGCTGTTATAATTTATTTATAGAAGAGTTCAAAAAACCTTTATTCTCTAAATAAACCACAATTTCACAGGCAGGGCCGCCGAGAGGGGGGAAGGGCGCAAATTGCCCCGGGCCCCGATGGCAATATGGGGTATATGTGGGGTATTTGATCATCAATTGCTCCCCACCCTGGGGATTTCGAATAGCATTTTGGCCCCGAGTTGGGGCAATTTGAACCAAATGACTTTTATTAACATACTATTTATTGCAATTTATTGCAAAATGGTGGGGCATTTGACTAATATCTATTGCCCGACGGTGGGGCAAATGCCCCATCTATGCCTGACCCCCCTCCTATGGGGCTTAACATTGATAGGTGGATAATACATATAATGAATTATTGGATTTCACTATGACATTTTGCACGTTCTGTCATTGGATCTGACAGGGGGTCAACCTAAAAAATGTATTGATGCTTATGTTGTACTGGAGTGAGCAAATGACATGAAATTGCATGTATTTGCAACGAAACACAAGGCCAACACATAGAGTGAAAAATTAATTCCCTCTGATGACTGTGTCTCGATTTAGAGTTGACCACCCATCAAATTTATGATGTCATATGAAACACAATAATATACAGTATAATATTACTGACAGCTAATTGTAGCATAAAGTATTTAATGATTTTAATTTATTGAGTAGCACAATATGCCAAATTGGCAATCCCTTTGTTAATCTTGTCCACACAGTAATTCAAAGAAGCCCTGCCCTCTGTACGAGGTTGTATTAATTGGATTCTGTCCAAGAAAACGTCATAAACCTTTTGATCCAGATGTTACAAAGTATGAATTCCAGATTGGGAGACCATATAAATATTTTTAATAAATATTTTTAGTATTTTTAATAATTAAAGGGGCTCTACAGTCATTTTTTAGTCAAGTAAGTATTGTTTACATTTTTTTGTTATTGTCGCTACTTGACATATGCATCATGGCATGCATGCGTCTTCCGGTGTGCGGAAGTACTCATACTCGTGGATACTGCATGTAAGATACAGCCAAACGAATCTCTGTGGAGTCCTCTACTTAAGATGGCTTTTTGACTAAAAAATGACTGTAGAGTCCCTTTAATGGCAGTAATGAGTAATCAACATGAAGTCAAGTACATTTCCGGCCATTGATGAGAAATATTGTCCAGAAATACAGTGTAATAACAAAATAGGGTGCACTAAAGAGCATTGTGGCTTAATGATCTAATGAGATAATTAACCAAAGATAGGTAGACATGCAGATGGATAGCCTGCACGCAGACTATATAATGACATAATGTCATTATATAGTCTGTGCACAGGCTAGCAGATGGCATGACAGTTTATGTAAATTAGCATTTAGTATGATATAAAAGACTTGTTGTTGACAAGACTGTAGGATATATATATACGGATATTAAACGTATTTTACATGGTGTCAGGTGTGGGATACTATGGATAGCTTTCACAAGCCGAGTGCTTTAAGTTTTGACGGAAATACATCAGAAAATTGGAGACGATTTAAGCAGCAGTTTCAGATATATTTAGTCGCGTCAGGAGCGAAGACAAAGACGACCCGATTAAAATAGCCATGTTGTTAAATTTTGCTGGCGAAGATGCTATAGAAGTTTTCAATACTTTCGAGTTTTCTGCTGGCGATGATAAGAAATTGGATAAGGTTATCGAACAGTTTGAAAGGTATTGTAACCCCAGAAAAAATGTAGTCTTCGAGAGATACCAGTTCTGGAAAATTACGCAGAGAGATTCAGAGACGGTTGACCAATTTGTCACAAGATTAAAGAACAAAGTAAAATCGTGCGAATATACATCGGTTGACGATATGGTAAGGGACAAGTTTGTGTTTAGTATACAAGACTTAACTGTGAAAGAAAGATTGTTAAGAGAAGAGAAACTTACACTGGACAAAGCTATAAGTATGGCTAGAGCAGCCGAAGCGTCGAAGGAACAGATTAAAGTCATGAATGCTAGGGCGCAGTCGAGCGAAGCAAATCGGTCGGTAAATGTTCTTCGATATGACGCCAATCAAGGAAAAGGGCAGATAGGTAGCCGCCGTGAAAAAACAAAGTCCGAAAAGTGTGGATTCTGTGGTATGGTTCACGCATTAAGATCTTGCCCGGCATTCGGCAAAACATGCAACCATTGTAAGAAGACAGGACATTTTGAGCGTGTGTGTCGAGCGAAGCAACGACAACGTGACTCTAGACCGAGAGAAGTGAATGTCTTGGGGGAATTCGAAGACGGCGAAGTTAGCGAGGATGATTTATTGACATTTTCAGTAGAGTCAAATAACGAGGGCAGCTCAAAGAATGACTGGCATGTCCAGCTTAAGTTTGGAAAAACGGATTTGAATTTCAAATTAGATACGGGGGCAGATTGTAATGTGATTTCGCAATCGTCGTTTGAGCAATTGTCACTAACAAATACAAGAATTTTCAAAAATAAGAGCAAGTTGAAGATGTTCGATGGCCGTAAGATAACTCCGAAAGGAAAAGTCAGCTTAGAGTGCGAGTATAAAGGCAAATTTACCGTGTTAGACTTTGTACTAGTTGAACAAGATCTACCATCGATTTTAGGATTAAAATCCTGTCTAGAACTCGGGTTGGTAAAGCGAGTTTATAGCTTGGAAGTGGACCCACCGAAGATCGAAACAGAATTCAGTGACGTTTTCGAAGGTCTGGGAGAGATTAAAGATGTTCAGTACCAGATTAAGATTGATCCGGTGTCCATTCCAGTGGTGCATCCTCCTCGAAGAGTTCCTATGGCCCTCCGAAAGCCACTAGAAGAAGAGTTGCGTCGAATGGAGAAGTTGGGGGTTATTGAGAAAAAGAATGAACCCACCGCTTGGGTACATACTTTAGTCATCGCCAGAAAAGCAAATAATAAAATTCGAGTCTGCATGGATCCTAGCGATTTAAATAAAGTGGTTATGCGAGAGCATTTTCCTATGCAGACCGTTGAAGAAGTTGTCAGCAGAATGCCCAATGCCAAAGTGTTTAGTGTTCTTGATGCCAACCATGGTTTCTGGCAGGTGAAATTGGCCAATGAAAGCAGTAACTTAGCCACGTTTAATACTCCATTTGGAAGGTATAGTTATAAACGATTACCTTTTGGAATAGCTTCTGCTCCGGAAGTATTTCAGAGTATTATGTCGAATATGTTTTCAGATATAGAAGGAGTCGAAGTTATCGTGGACGATTTGGTGGTCTGGGGAGAAGACGTGACGAAACATGACGAACGACTTCGTTTGGTCTTAGAACACTGTCGAGATACAAACCTTATGCGATTAAAGTGAAATATACGCCTGGGAGTCAGTTGTTGATAGCAGATGCTCTTTCTAGATCACAGATGTCTGCACAGATAAACGATCCATCAGATGAATTTGAAGTCAATGTTCTGGAATCGGGTCAGATGTCTGAGACTATGTTTGAGAAGTTGGTTGAGGAGACCAAGAAGGATGCTGAACTTCAGCAGTTGCACAGAGTAGTTATGGATGGTTGGCCACAGACAAAGCCTGAAACGCCCTTAGAAATTCGACCTTATTGGAGTTACAGAGATGAAATAAGTGGTTATGATGGCTTGATGTTTAAAGGAGATCGTGTAATTGTTCCACATGTTCTTAAACCAGAAATGCTGGATCGGATACATGCAGCTCATTTGGGAATCGAGAAGTGTAAAGCACGGGCGAGAGGTTTAGTGTTCTGGCCTGGAATGAATAGTGCAATTGATGAAATGGTGTCAGAATGCAGAACATGTTTACAATTTCAGCGAAGGAATCAGAGGGAGCCGTTGATGCCGCAGGAAATTCCAGAGAGGCCGTGGTCAACCGTTGCAGCGGACATATTTTATTATAAAGGAAGAGACTATTTATTGGTAGTCGATTATTTCTCGAAGTATCCTGAAGTAACAAGGATAAATCACAAGAATAGTGAAGCCGTCATCTTGGCAATGAAAGAAATGTTTGCCCGTCATGGCATTCCAGAAAAAATTATAGCTGATAATATGCCTTTCAACAGCCTTAGATTTAGAGACTTTGCTAGAGAGTGGGAAATTGAGGTGGTGACAAGCAGCCCACACTATCCGCGTTCAAATGGGCTCGTGGACAGAAACGTTCAGACAATTAAGCGTCTGTTGAAAAAATCAAATGATTCGAAACAAGATGCATTTTTAGCCTTGTTGGAGTTCCGTAATTCTCCAATTAGTGGTATGGAACAATCGCCTGCAGAACTGTTGATGAGTAGAAAATTGAGAGCTAAGTTACCAATTCCTAAGCATCTTCTTAAACCTAAGTCACAGCCAATCAACGATGTTCGCCAGAGATTGAGAGTACGTCAGTTGCGTCAGAAAGCAGCATATGATCAGGGAACGAAACAGTTATCCAGTTTACAGCCAAACGAGTCGGTGAGGATTCGACAGGGAGGCGTATGGAATCCAGCCGTGGTCGTTGAACAACATAAATCACCTCGTTCGTACATTGTGGCAACTTCAAATGGAACTCAGTTACGCAGAAATCGCCAGCATCTAATGCCAACTAACGAACCACCAATGATTATTACACCACCAATGGAACCTGTCGGCGAAGAAGAACGTTGTTCAGGTATAGCTCCGAGTACCGTACGTTCACCAGTTCGTTCTCCAGTTATATTCCCGAGTACAGAAATAGAGGAAGAACACGTACGAACACCATTGAGAAGAAGTACAAGAGTTCGAAGGGCACCTTCCCGATTGATTGAGAACATCTAGTTAAGTATAAAGGAATGTATATATATAGTATAAGATGAATTTAGTATAATTAGGATATTTTAGAAACTTTAGTTCGGACTTGAACACCAGTTGAATTGTTTAATAGTTAGGAACTATGCATGAAAAAAAAAGAAGAAAAAAAAAAGAAAGAACGGGAGATGTCACATATAGCATGACAGTTTATGTAAATTAGCATTTAGTATGATATAAAAGACTTGTTGTTGACAAGACTGTAGGATATATATATACGGATATTAAACGTATTTTACATGAACAGATGTGCCTGTAATGATATTTCCACGATTAATCCCCCTTTGTTCAAGCATATATCTTCCCACTTCAATGTTTTCCAAACCAAGATCGGAACGAACCCGAGATGGTAGGTTGTACCTCTCAACTGCTGAATGAAATAGATTCAACACAGTCGCAGCGGCGTTGTTGGTCGATGCTTGCAAGAAAACAACTAAACGTGAATAGCCATCAATACCTCCTTTGATAACTAGTCTGTATGGTTGAATTAGTTTGTGGTTTCCATCTATGTGCCTAGAATAAAATATCCAACATTTTTAGCTTAAGTTCTTGTGCAGACACTGTATCAAAACTTTGCTGTTGCTTGAGTGTGTAACAAAGTTTTGGGGTACCCACATTTAACATAAAACAGTTTCTTTCATGACAATAGTAATTGCTTACTTATAATTGCAACATGGTGAACCATCACTAAGTGCAGCGTCCTACTGTACAGTATATGTCAACAGGCTGATCTTGTCAGATTTTTCAAAAATACAATTTCTTAGATGGTAAGCGGTGGGGTGGAACCATATATATTTGCAATCCCAAACAAAAGCTCTAACCAACTATTACAGTAAAAGTATAAATAAAGAAATTATACTTGCCACAATGAATTGGGAGCTTTGACGTTATACTTTCTTCGGATTATTTGCCTTGCATTTTGTAAAGTAGAAGCGACTGGATCTACTCTCCTTAACGATTGAAGTACCCTTAATCTTTGAACAACAAGGCTTTGCTGTCTAAGCATACCTAATTTTAAGAATTTTTTATCACTGCACATTTTTGCGCAAAGTTTAGCCGAGCAGAAGCACGCCCTAAAAATTTCTGAACACACTTTATAATGTGTAACTATGCACAAAACAGGCTACAATTAATATTCAAAAATGCCAAAAACCAACATACACTGCACAACACTCAGGCATGCCCAGGGACATTTGGGTACCCATGGCCAAATTTTACTTGGTGCCCCACGTGATTCCATCTTCTAACACTATCATTAGGGGGTCCCGGGCATTCTCCCCAGGGACCAGGGAAATTTTATAATCTGAGGTCCCAGAAATGGCCAAATCCTGCATTCTGGAAGTCCTTTGACAGTTATATATATGTGTATACTATATTTTACTTAATTCTTTATTTCGGCCCCCTTTAACTAAGGCCCAAGAAAAAATTGCCCCCTTTGACAGCACCTATAGATTCAACTATCTGTGACGGCATAGTTTCATAATCACATACTTGCAAGAAAGAAATATTTTCGTATTGGCAAATGAGAGGCAGCTTAGACAGCTTAGGACTGACAAACCTCTAGAGGAATTCCAAGGGCATGCACCCACAGAAAATTTTGTAATCTATGCTCTCTAAAAGGGAATTTTATGCAATGTGCGGAGACATTCTATAGAATTCTGAAGATTACACACTAATGACAAAACGATAAGTATCATTCACTTTATCATCCAGGCTCATAAAGGGACCTTTGGTGCGAGACTTTGTTCGACATCTGATAAACCTGGAGTAGTATAATATTAGTGCACGTTCGATAATTTGTCAGCTATCATTTCAATTTCATTCAAATTATTCTCATTCAAAATGTTTTGATTAATACTGTCAAGGAGTGTCAAGACGAATTTTTAGCTGAGTTCTTCTGTCATTGCCTGATTTTCGTGTTAATTGTTAATTAACAACTTATCACAGCAAATTTTTCACTGCACATTTTACATTTTATCACTGCACATTTTAGTTTTATCACTGCACAAATTGGTTATCACTGCACACTAAAATTAGGTATGTGTCTAAGTGATCCTTGAACAAGCCTTAATCTTGCAGACGGAGTAGACTGCAGCACTTCTCGAACAACATTGTCAAGTTGGATATCACTTATATCAGAGAACTCTCTTCCTTCAACCCTCATGCCCAATTCGTGTCTTCGTCGGCCCAATGCTCTGCTTGAAACTTGTAACATACGCGCAGCATCATTCCAACGAAAGCCTCCTGCATTGTGTAATGCTTCAAGCTGGGATTGTGCAATCTCAACCCTTCGCCGTCCTCGTCCTTCATTTGTATTTTCTAGGCGACTGCGCAAGTTGTATTCCTCTTCACAGTTGTCATCTTGCATATTGTTGGATCGACCTTCAAATTCTTGACGCAGTGCCCCCAAGCGATTTCGAAGAAACTCGATGTCTTGAAAAGAACGAAGTACATCAGGCATATTTTGATAAGTTTCGTTTAGCCTTGATAGCAAAGTCGATACAGTTCGTTCATACTCGTCCAGACGGCGTATAAGGTACAGTATTCCGAGCAAGTTTGAGAGTGCAACTGCCTCTCTGCATTTTCAATAAGTCGTCCCAAAGAGTAAAAAAATTCTTCAAAATTTGGAAGCCATCGCTGCGCCATTTTTACGTACGTATTTTAAAAATAACCGGCGAATAGGCATAAATGCAAGCCTTTTTATATACCTACGGAACTTTGTCCCCAGGCAATAAATCCCTATTTCCGGTTTTCTCCTGACAACTTCCGTATCCTCTCGAATATTATTTTTTCACTTCCTCTCGACTTCGATGAAAAAAAGTCGACTTCGATTATCGTATTTTGGACTTCGATTATCGTATTTTGGACTTCGAATATCGTATTTTGGACTTCGATTATCGTATTTTGGACTTCGAATATCGTATTTTGGACTTCGATTATCGTATTCCCGACTTCGATCCCAAAATATTCGACTTCGAATTGAATATTTTAACTCGTATTTTTGTCCGCAACGGAACGCCATAGCTGACAGGGAAATTAGAAAAGACCTGGGAAAACCCCCCGCGACTTTCGTTAATAACTCGCGACAAAACCCGCGACTTTTGTTAATAACCCGCGACCCGCGAAAATACCTGCGAATAAAACCCGCGACCCGCGACAATTAGATTATCTCGCCAACAATATTCGAATTAGATTTTTGTTGTCTATCGAGATGCTTGATATCATGTCCGGCTAGCTGAAAACTCACACTTTATGAAAATATACTCTTATTTATCTTTACCTACTAAGGGTGCCATACAATTTTACTTTAATTATTTTGGTCGAACCAATTAATCTGTGCCACAGCCATGCATGAACTGATTAATATACCAATGCCAAAATGTCGGTTTTTATAGGTCTGCTGGCATGTATTTGACAATCATTTTTGTTACAGAACGCTCAAATATTTTTATACGTATCTTCTTTTGTTGACCAGACAAAATATGAATGCGATTTTTGCTCGAAATGTCTATCAACAAAAACCTTTGTCATTCCTTTCTATCGAGCCTCAGCAATTAACTGCTTTATGCAAATGCCAAACGGCCAGCTTTCTAAAGCGCTGTTGCTAGAAGACCCCATGCAGGTACACAATATACCGAATCGCTTGTCACGACATCGACTTCAACAGTTTCAAGGCACTTAAAAGGCGATATATGTGACAAAATATGAAAACTGTTGAGGCGGGGAAATTTTTTGGGAGACTTTATCTCTGGTTCTGTGGCCTAATTGAAGATTATCTTGCCACAGTACTCACGACAATTGCGATGCAATATATATGTACAATGTTCGCACAAATTTGATCAACTGAAGTTTTCACATACTTTCCAGCGAAATATATAGTCACAACTGCACGCGAATGTTGGATAAGCAAACTAGATCCCGATTTTAACATTTTTATACATGGTCACACGGAATATAGAAATTTTTGAATTTTTGCTTATGCTCACAACTGAGGGCCCCCTATACCTCTTCACAATATGCTTTCACGTAAAAATATTTTGCCTTTTCACGAGTCACGAAAAATTAAAATTCCTTCACGTTTACGGGAAAATCGAAGCGATCACGATTCGCGTAAATATAGAACAAAATTCACGAATTATTATACGGATGTTTTCCTTAATTGTAGAATCCTTGTACTCGTTTGTACTTACCTCGACATGTTTTCAAACCTCCAACTATGTCGAAAACAGGCTACTGTACATCAAGTACTTCAAAAAGCGGTAACAAACCGTATTTATTCCTTGGAAAGCTGATCACACAAAAGGTCACAAAACAGATGATTCACGAATCACGCATATATCTATCTGCCATTCGATCACGGGTCACTGTTAAATCGAATCTTTCCTTCACGTGCACGTAAAAAGATTGGAAGTCATACCATCACGAATCACAGATTAAGAAAATCATTGATCACGTTTCACGGCTAAGTAAAATAAGCCCATCACGCATCACGCAAATAGTATAGGGGGCCCTCACAACTGTTCATATTGACAAGCATGGAAACTATAATATTCCAATTTTCACATTTTTGTCAGCGTGAAACGGAACAAAATTTTTGAAATTATCAATTACGTCATTCCACTCAGTGAGCGTTATTCAAACTTGCCTGTGCCAAAAGCAAAAATATAAATCTTTTTAGTCATGCTTTCACCAAATACACAATAAATCTTAGCCAGACCCTCATTAAGGCCTGATTCCACGGGCGCTTTTTCTCGGCGAAATGCGAAATATTTCGCCTGTTTCTTTTGAATTGCGACAACTGGAATAAATTATTTCTGCTTGATTGCTCACAATTCAAAAGAAACAGGCGGAATATTTCGCATTTCGCTGACAAAAAGCGCTCGTGGAATCAGGGCTTTAGAGTATTCAGGATACGATATCATTTGGTGCCTGTGAACTAACAACAGTTGCATTTCTTAGCCGCATTTAGGGAATTTAGACAAAAGAACAAACATAATAGTACTACATTGTGTTGTTCTGGAGCATGGGCAAAGCAGCACTTTGTGAACAGATACCAATAATACCAAACAAACTAACAAATTTTGTTTGGACGCCTAACTTTACTTAGACAACGTGATATTGCGGTTTCGCTTATGGGACGCGAATGTGCTTGCTTAACGACATGAAAGAGTATAGGTGCAATACACACAAGCATAACCGGACGAATAAGAACACATCTTCAATTACTACTTTTTAAAAAACACTGCATAAGATCGCCAATGTAGTTAATCCTTACACAATTACACTAACCAGTACCATTTGCACCATTGCCACTGACTAGAGAGTGTAAACAGCGTAAACCCTCTCTGTCGCCTGTAAATCATTTGGAACTAATCAGTTGTATGCCAGTCGTTATGTCTGACATCTATTGCGAATTTGTGTACCATTCGTCATTCAACAGATCTCATGGAAACATTATCGAAAAAATTTTTTGTCACTCAAATAGAATAACACAAAATTAACTTACCTAGACCTGGTACAATAGGTGGTTCGGTTGTTGCACCTGCGGTTGTTGGATTTTCTGTTGTTCCACCTACAGTCGAAGGATTATCGCTAGTAGCAGGGTCTGTTAGACGATCCAGTATGACTCCACTTGGCAATACAAGTACTCCTATTACGAGCAGGTAAAGCAAATTTGAAAAAACGTCCATTACGATTGGCGCTTATTATACAAACAGCTCGCTTGTTGACTCAGAATAATTCACATTTGTTTCACGGCGCAATTTTAAAGCAAACGACCATCCTGGAATTAGCACATTTCCTGACCAATTAAATTTCGTGAATTGCAATTGAATAAACAATGTCCTGATAATTTAAAAATTATTTCGTATTTGCGCGCATTCAGAGAATGACCTAAGTCAGTGCTAAGTCCTGTGATTGAAAATTTTAAAAATTATTTCGTATTTGCGCGCATTCAGAGAATGACCTAAGTCCTAAGTCTTGTGATTGAAAAATAAATTCAAAAGATTAGAATAAATTAAACTGACTAAAATATAATGATAACTCAGCCAATAAAATGTGATTAATATGGAAACCCCATCGCCTTTGAAAAAGACAACAGAACAATCAGAACGGCTCCATTTCTATAGCCCTGCAGGTAATTGCCAACAATTAAAATATGTATGAAATTCTTGCACGAAAGTTATATATCCGATGCCACAATGAATCCTCGACATTCTCTTCTATCGAGCAATTCATGCACATGCAATCTTCAACTTGACATGAACTTCCCGATTGACCGACTTTAGAAAACAGAGAATGGCAAATTTACTTCAGGCAAAATTTCAATTAAAGGCTGATTTCCACTGTTGCGTTTTTCGTACGTAAAACTTTGAATCCTTCAATTATTTCAATATTTTACAAATAAGATAACAAATGCATACTAAAACTTGCGGAACACTAAATTCTGTTGCTTTATTTATTCGGTTATTTCATAAGTAACATTCAAACGGATTTAAAATTTTACGTGCGTATACGTACGTATGAAAAACGCAACAGTGGAAATCAGCCTTATTAAAGAATAAAGGTTTATTCATGCGTACGAAAATTTAAATGAATCTAAATTTTATATACGTATACCTCTCAAAATACTGTACTGAAAATAGATGCGCATTAAATCATGTACCAAGCAAATAACCTAATTCCGATGGATTTCGCGAGCAAACTTTATTAAATGGATTTGAACTTTTCCGTGCGCAAGCATACAGTATGGAAAACATTCGTGGAATGTAGTCCTTTTGAAACACTGGATAAAGAAGTGTGATTTCTAAATTGCTAGGAAACCTAACCTTGTTATTTTAACGTATATTAACTAATCGGTATATAAGCTATACTTATGCAATAATAAAGGTTTCTTTTACAATACTACATTTGGCGACGAGGATGGCGGATGAAGAGTGTC